AAATATTTGTGATATAATGTTATGTAAGACTCTTCAAGTGATTTTCTTAGAGGTGCATGAGGTTGAGTCTCATAAATACTTTCAAGAAGGAAGTAAGCTTGGAGGAAGGAAGGAAGCTTGCAGATTAATTGCTCCTAATTAGAAAGCAGTTACAGCTTGAGTAATCAAAATTCCTTGAGGATAGTTACAGCTTTTAGATGGACTTTAAGTACTACCTTGCTTGTTACAAAACCTCAGTCAGTAGCTGCTGCTGTGTGCAGTATCAATTCCTGTGCTGGTTCCTTGCTGTATCTGCCTCAGCTACGTGGATTCTTAGTGAGATTACCACTTGAAGCTGTAAATTCAGCTCTTAATTTTTTTTGAGGCATTTCTAGAAATCTGTTTGCCAGCAATCTTTGGGCTTTTGTGATTGATGTGATGATGAGCCTTAATAGACATAACACCTTCCTGTGGTGCCCGTGGTGTTATCTATATACTTCCTGACTTGCAAGCTGGCTTTGCTGGCAAGAACATGTTATTTTGGCTGTAGTTTCTTAAACTGAAAGTGTCATTTATAGGTCACTTGAACATTAATTGTCACCTCTCTGAAATGGAGAGATGATAACACATCATATGACATATCTGTATTCATTTTGGGGTAGTTTTCGTGACTTATGAAATAAGATTTGTAAGACATCTCTGTGTTGCTCAGAATAAGTAATGATTTGTTTTACATGAATGCCTGACATTTCTTCAAAAACTATTATCCACAGATTAGTCATAAAACTCAGTGCTGTTGCAACTTCGCGCATATAAAGACTGACTTTAGGGTCATTATTAGTTTTTCATAGGACAACTGCCTGAAGCATCAGTGTAAGGTTCAGGCATAAAGGCTTACTGCTTTCCTTTCACAATGGTAGCAGAATGTGAAGAATAGTAGAAATCCCATATGATTTAGAGAGTAAATGAGGTGGTCTCATATGCCTGTCTTTACTGAAGTAATGGTGGTGTTTTAACAGGCTTTTTTTTTTTTTTTCTTGAAGGTAACTTACATTCTGTGAATTAAGGACAGTCACCAGCTGCAGTTCTAAATTGATCATGTTTTTACTTTGTAGTATTCTGATGGATTTGGTCCCTTGATACTTGACAGACTTAACTATGAAAGTAATGTGACAAACTTCTAAAATCAGTTTCTGTGTTTCCCTTTTCACTTAGTGGTCCACAGCAACTATGTAGTATAAATAAAATGTTGATTTGAAAGAAAAAATTGTAAAGAAAATTTTTAAGGAAAAAAAAATTAAGAAAAAAAGCTTCTGAACCAATTAGCTACTTCAGTGTTAGTTCAGCATCAGGTTGAACTTTCACTGTACATTACTAATACACTACACCAGTTTGTAAAATGGAAGACTTCAGGCTTATGTGCTGCATAATTGCTGAAACTACTGAGTTTTCTGTTGTGCTGACTTGCAATTTATCCAGACTTAAAGTAGTTAAATGGTGAACAGCTGGTGTTTAGCAGCATTTCTTTTGAATGATGGAACTATGTTTTGAAGATTTCATATAGTTTGTATGCAGTTTCTGCACCTGAATGTCTTTGCTGAGATTAGAAAACACTAGTTTCCATAGAAGTATATTCCTTAGCCTAATCTGAAATATGGCTCCTTGTTTTATAAATTGTAAGCCCCACCTTACTATTTCTTTTCGTCTTAGTTTTCATCTAGGCAAAATGAATAGAGGTGCTTAATGTAACTCTGGTTCTTTCCCCTAGAACTAAATTTTAATTAAGAATCAGTCTTTTAAAAGCCAGAGAGACTAATGCTTTCAAAACCAGTGCACATTAGGAGGGATTGCAATAGCCCCTTTATGAGTTCAGAGATGTGTAGCTTCAGTCGTCTTCAAACTGCATTGATTAGCTGGGGGAAGAGTAAAATACATCAGAACAGCCTAAAAGCTCATCAGTGCTGAAGTGTAGCATGATTTTGACACTATAGTCACAACTGCTTGTTTCCTGTACTGTAGATGGGTGAGCTTTCCACTTTCTGTTGCAGGTGATGGATCACGAGTCTCAGTTTGCCTGCCTTTCAGGAGCTGAGTGCAGTAGCATAAGTGTTATAAACTGTGGAGGGTTTCTCTGCTCCCTCAAAACAGATACTAAAATTTCCAAAGTGCAAAGTAGTAGAGATTTGTATTTCAGCGTCCCATGTATAAATGAATCTGCTCAGGACAAATGTTGCATTCCAAGTCTGGAAGACAGTAGAAATGGCATTTGTTTTAAAAGATGAAGTTATCTTAGTTTGATTTCTTACAGAAACCATTGTGTTTTAGAGCAAAATACATTATAATTCTACATTATCATTTACTTCTGTTGAGTTGGTTATTGCTTTAAGCGTTGGCTTTTATGTTTCTTCAGGTGCTTCAGGTGTTTTATTAACCTTCAGGTGCTTCAGGTGTTTTATTAACCTGGGCCATACTTAATATGACTTCATATGATTTTAAAACCAGCAGTTCTTGAATAGCTTAGGAAATATTGTTCAACCTGAAATAAATCATTACCTAAAAGAAACCCAATAAATTTGTAGTGATGTAATACTTAATTTACCTGACACTGCTGTTACTCTGATGTGGCCCCAATTGTGATACCGTGTGGGAGAGATATACTATATTGAACATTCTTTAAACAACTTTCCTTTTTGACTTTTTACACCTGCTTGCTTCACTCTTCAGTGTAGAAGCTGGTTATGCTGTTCTACAGCTTTTGCCAATTAACAGGCAAGTGGAGCTGCTTTTTTCCACCTAGCTTGTAGTTGCCCTCAGGGTTCTTATGGGTTTCAGATATTCTGCAACTCAAATTGTTCAACTTAAATAGCTTTAAATAACAAACCTTAAGTTCTATCCTTAATAGACCACTTTAGGTCTAATAGACAGGCTTTAGGTAGCAAGCAGTATTTCTGATAAATGTTAAAGTCAAGACACTAAAATTCCTGTGTGCTGTTTTAATTCAGTGTCCTAAAGACCTAAATCAGAAGGGAGTAATCTTCACAGTTTGGTTGTATTCACCATATGAATTCATTAAAATCTGTGAAACCAACTGAGATTTTAAAATAAACCTTATTTTAAACCTTATTTTTCAGATATTGGAAGGCTTGAAATCCACAATAAGGAAGAATCAGTGGGTTTAGTTCTCTTACTGTATGCTTTTAATAAATATCTAAAAATATATCACACTTAAAACTGTATGATGGTTTTCATCTCCAGCCCAGTGAGAGTAGCTAGTGTAACATAGAAAAAATGAGTAGCTTTTTAAATTTTCAGCTCCATGCTGCTACAATCTGATTATAAATAAGTCTTGTTATTTAGTTAAAAAAAACAAAAGAAGCTCTCATGGCAGATATAAATGTTTGTTAACATAACTGCCAAGTATTTTAATCAGCAATATTTCTAATATAAAATTTCTATATAGGAAACTTTGGTGGGCTTTGAGTAATAGACTCACAAGTATAGATGCAAATAAAGATACTGCTGAGAGATTCTGATGGCTGTTTTAGTCCTGACTACATTGGTGAGCCCTATAAAGACTGCTGCAAAGGTTTGAAATTGGCTTTCATTTAGTTGGTGGTTTCTAATTCTCGTGAGTAGAGATTTTTCTTTACACTATACTATTTACCTTGATTTGTTAAAAAGAATGGCTTAAATGTACTGATGCTTAAGGAATGAGGTTCTAGCTTGGTACTGATATGTCCATGCTTAAATGTCTTGTCTAGTCTTATTGATTTATGTGAAATGACTTGTGTCTTCCTGTCATTATTATAAAATACGTGCAATCAAAACAAATGAGTATTTCCTGTGATAAACTGCAGTTTATTTTCCTTCTGATAGTAGTAAATGTAGCTTTTACATTTCCCTTTCTAGGGAATACTGTGGAATTCTTTAAACTTCTTAAGTTGTCTTTAGTAGTTATAAAACTCAGAATATCAATTTCCAAAGAAGTTTCACCAGGTCAGTGAAAATAAAACTTCAGAAGCAGGCTTACTACAGGAAATCTCATCTCAAACCTTAGTAAACCTAGAAATTCTGTGTTTAGTTTCTAGCTTTAAGAACGGTATGAAGTCTAGTTCTAGAAATCAGGCTGTTAACTAAATGCCCTATTTGACTAAGCCAACCTACCTATTCCTGTAAAGATGCATGAATGTAACTAAAAATAGTATAGCTCATATGCTTAGTAGAGAATGATCACTGGCTTTTAGTGATTCAAGGCTGCTTTGTAACTGCAAGTTGAGAAACACAGGAGAGGCTTCAAAACAACTGGTGGAAGCTACTCTGTGAATGCTTCAGTTTCTCTAAACTGTTTTGCAGAATTGTCAAAATGGAGAATAAGTGAAGTCTGCAAGGCAGAAATAAAGAACATCAGATGTTAAACTTTCCAGCTTTTGAGGAATTACAACCTCCCTTCTAAAGTTTTGAAGAACTAGTTAATACTTTTTCTATAGTAAACAGTTCTTGATGTGGAAGCATTGTGCTTTCTAATTCTTAAATATTCAGTCACTCTTGTGAATGAGACGCATGGTTTTATGGTGAGTTGTTCTGAACCTTGTGCAAAGCATTTACATCACTGCCCTTGAAAGATAGATAAGTATGGTAACCATGATCAAATTCACAGGGTTTTGTTTTCAAACCTGAACCACAGTGTTATGCGCTCTATTCTAGCAGAACATCCCACAGAAGAACCAGTGATTTTGAGGGACAGCAGGAAAACCTTAAGCTGATGCATTTCTTAAATTTGTAACTGAAGAGATTTTAAACTGCATCAGTTGTCTTAAGCAGACACTGGATTGTGATATAGCAGTGAATAATGTGGAAACCATTTGCTCGTTCTTTTTCTAGAATGAGAAGATAATAGCTTTCAGGAAAGTGAATGTGCAGTCCTGAGAAATAAATCAAATACAAATCTGAATTTGACACTCATCTAAAGTCAAGAGTAATAGGTTAAACTTTAAAAACAAGTATCTTTCTCTGTTACAGGAATTCTCTGCAGCATGTTTTCTGGGTGGAACTGGGTGGCCCATGTCTTGTATCTGCTCTGGAGTATCTGTTCTCTTGGAGGTAAGACTTGTGTCTCAAACAGGAGGCTTGTAGAACATATCTAATCAGATGCTTGCAGCACATACTTTCTTTTCATCTAGATACTGCAGGGTGGGGGCAGAAAGCAAGGTGTATTGGGATAGAAGGACCTAATCTATGCTCCTAATGCCATAGTAAAATAATGCATGTTAAACCAGTACTCACTTCTATTTGTGGCTCATCTGCATACAGAGATAGTGAAGAGCAACTTCAGTCAGTGGAAGGTTGCTTTGGTTCCACTGACATCACTGGAGCTGGTAACTGTAGCAAACTGAGTTTTATATCACATATGCCAAAAGCATGTCTTGGTTAGGCTAAACACTGTTAAAGCAATAAGCTACCAATGAACTTCTGTAGTAGCCTCTATGATCAAGTTAGAGCTGTGAGCCACTGCTATTGTGTAGCAAATGATCATCCTCAAGATGTTTAGTATGACTGTTGTTTCAGGGCAGTATTTCAATTATCTATTTTCATCTTCAAAACTTGCTGCTTTTCTCTTTATGTGCCTCTGTAGCAATAGTCACAATTTTGTTGTGTTGATGTTCTTTTGTAAAAAAGTACTATCAAATGTGCAGTGTTTACTGTAATTCCCAAATATGCTTATGGTATACACACTGAAGCTTTAAGTGGACAACTCAAGTGTTTAACTGTTTGTATGTAATTCTTCTAAACCTAGTCCACCACAACAAAAGTGTGTGCTTTTCCCTATTTTTTGTTAGCTTTCTCAATGGAAAATACCTTTTTAGCTGCAGGGGTAGCCTCAAGTGTATTACCTTCCTCCTTCAAAATATACTAACTGTTCAGTCCTTGACTTTCCAAAGGCCCCTGTTTATTAACAGTGCTTTTCTTGCTTGGGAAAATGGCTTCTGCAAAGCCTAGGGAGCACTACACTGGTTTTGCCCCTTAAATCTGCTTGATGGTCCACTAACACATTTCAGTTTTATAACTGTCAAGTTATGAATTCATTTCCTGCCTAGACACATGTAGTATTTTTAACATTACACTCATGTTGTATCAGCAATACTGATTATGGAATGATCTGTAGTTTTTAATAAAGACGCAATTCTTTGTAGTTTCAGGTGGACTTGTGCAGTCATGTGGTCACATCATCCCAGAGTCTCCTGTATTGACCCTTGGTTCCAGTTTCACGGCATTATGCATTTTGAATGAGAGTTGTCTTGACTTTGGCAATATCTATGCTAATCAAATTATCTGGAAAACTAAAAATAGAGTGGTACCTAAAGAACAGTATCGTGAAATAAACAGAACAGTTTCCAGTGTCACATTTAATGACACTTCTTCACTAGCTAATCCTCTGACATGCAACATTTTAGCAGATGGACAGATTGAGCAGAACATCTATGGAATTACAGTTACAGTAGGCTGTAAGTACCATTTTTCTTGCCTTTTATTCTGGTCTTAATACAATTGCTTCTGAAAAACAGGGGAAAGAATGCAAACAATAGAAAGTGTTCCCATCTTGAGACACTTGTTTCTGTTCACTCAATTCCTGGATAACTGTATAAAAACATTGTCATATTACATGCCATCAAAGCTGATAAATATGCACAGAATAGTTACCTACAAAATAGAAAATATCCTGGAGTATTTCAGTGTTGAAATAAGAAGAAAACAGAACAACAGAAAAATATTGAAGCAGGAGGAATTGAATTACAGAAAGATGATGTGAATTTAACTGAAATAGATCCTAGGAGATAAACTAACTTTTCCTTACTTCTGCTTTAGCATTCAAGGAAGTACAGTAAGGCCATAGGTCCTGCTTTCATAGTAACACCGTGAAATTAAGGTTTCCTTCATTAATGGACTGTGAAGTATTTAGTCCATCTGTATCACTCAAACTAACCTGAACTGCCATAAGGATGAAACATACTATTTGGATTACTCTTCCTCTATGCATAAGAAAATACTTTTAACTAATAAACTTTCCTTGTTCAAGCATGATCACGCTTGCATAGTTCTGAGCAAGTGCTCTTTGAGACAATTGAGATCTTGAGAAAGTAACATGAATTACTTAATATATTACTACTTAATTAGTTGGTGGACTGTTTATAAAATAACTGTTCAAGTGTCTTAATATCAGAGTATGAATGGCTGATGAATTATGTTTCCTCCTAGTGTTGGCAAAAGGTATTGAAGTTGTGTGGTCTGTACAGAAGGCTAGCTTGATTTCACAATTTAATGTGTTTCTAAGAAGCATAAGTTACAAAATGCTTTCACAGGCAAACAGTATTTTTATTTAAAGTTCTATGGAGTAAATTTCTTACTAGAAAAGATGTTACAGGCAAAATATATGGAAAAGTAAGTACAGATATAATATCCCAAGATGATAAACTGAATGAGAGTACAGATAACATTCTAGAGTAGTAATTCACATATGAATCTTGATACATTTATATTTAAAGCAACTGTATTCTCCTATTAATTCAAGAAAAATTCTGTAAACAATAAAAACAACAGGTTTGAGAATAATACAGCTATTCAGGAACAAAAGTAGGTTTTTACTTACAAAAATGTATGGTAGTTTTGTTGAAAATAGCATTCTGCTTGAAAGGAAATAAGATTCTTCAGATGCATTATACTCTTACAAAAAGTGATATTCTAAAAGCTAGAAACAAACTCTTTGTATGCTATGGTTTGAATTTAAGAAGGAAAAAAATTGTTCAGCTGGACTCTGAAAAAGTTTCTTACACAGTACTAAAGTGCATTTATGAAGAGCCCATATCTGTCTTGGACGTGTTTGCAGCTAAAGCATCCTTCTTTGGTGGCTCAGGTGAAGGAGAGCAGACCTGTCCCAACTGCCTTAGGGCAAAGTCAATATATGCCAATTCAGCTGTAGTGCTCATTAGCATTTTTTTCTGTGTGAATTAAAATAGATTTAGATGAGGGATGGTAGATACCAGGATTTCTGCCTCAAAGAATGAGAAATCTGTGCTTTTCCATCTTGTCAGGTCCTTGTTCCTTATACAGCCTACTGTTTCACACAGCAGCTGGTTAAGCTTCTTGAATGCCATTGCTGGATGGTATCTAGCACATTTTGCCCCCTCCTTTAGAAACAAATCTGATTATAAATACTTCTGATGTTCACTGAAATTGCTCTGATGGGACACTTAACGTGAATCTTACTGGATCTAAATGTGTGTATAAAATAATTATTGCTAACTGTTTCTGTTATAGTGCCCCCAGAGAAGCCTAAGAACCTAAGCTGCATTGTGTGTCAGGTGTCAAAACTTGCATATCCTATGACTTGTACCTGGAACCCTGGAAGGCCTACATTCCTGGACACTCACTTTAGGTTGAAGTACAGATGGTAAGTAGCCCTCTATAGAAGATCTAAAGAATGTTGAAGAATACTACTTGTAGGCTAAACTAAACTTCCTTAAAATTCCTTGATACTTCGGAAGGTTCTTAGCAAGTTTTCTGAATCATTGCTGTCTATTTTGGGGTGAAGGGAAGAGTTAAAGAAGTTCCAAAGTAATCCTAAGTCAGACTTGAAATTTTGTTGCTGCACTTGTTTTGGAGTAACAGATATTTCGTATTTTTCCATTCTTCAAATACACAATTAGTGTGGCTTGAGTACAGTACACCTAATTGTCATGTGACTGGACCAAAATTACGTACTTGATTTTTTTTCTGAGGTGACTGTTCTAGCCCATTCTAAACAAGTAGATGTCCCTGCTTACTGCAGGAGGGTCGGACTAGATGACCTTTAAAGGTCCCTTCCAACCCATATCATTCCATGATTCTAAGTAGAGAAACCAACATAGAGCACCTGGATTCTGTAGGGGTATTATCTACTCTGTATTTCTTAAGAACTCAGAATGGTGTTTGTCCATGATTAATCGTAACGTTAAAATTTCAGCCATAGTCATGAAAGCTTCAGCAAAAGTATTTCTCCTGTGAGAGCAAATTAGCTTAAGTATTTTTTCAAACTCTTTAGATAGTCTCTTGTAGCTATCTTAAAATGGAGCAGACAGAATTGTCGCTCTGCTCTGGAAAGAGGAATGACTGCCTACAGCTTTCTACCCCATTCCACCAGTGTTTTGGTAACAAGGGTAGTAGAAAGCATGGATAGATAGAAAACCTTAATGTTCTGTAAATCTCCTGATGCCCTAGAACTATCTGCTGTTAGTGCAGCAGAAGATGGGGAACAGAAATTATTGTTTTGCAGCTGTAACACTGTATTCTTGACAGGTATGCAGGTAACACTGACTACATCTTTTAATGCATTAATATGTTTCTATATACTAGCCATATTTCTTTTGATTAAATGTATCAATTCTTGATCTTTATTTTTTAAACTAAGGCAGGTTTTATAAAGTTTTATAATTACAATCCCATGGCTTGTGCTCTTGAAAATATGTAACTTGAAGTCAAGAGATTTTTATTAGTTTCTATTCTAATGCAATCATGCATATGTGGCTGAACAAGCCATTCTAACCTCTTCACCTTTTCTTCCCGCTTACAAAGATAATTGCAGAGGGGAAACATACTTGCTAAACTGATTGATAGCTCTGATCTACTTAAAGATTGTCTAAAGGAAACCAAACTTATTGCTTTATACCTTGTTTTTCCTTCTATTTAGGCCACAAGAGAACTTTCCTGACTGTATACCAAAAGATGTAAACAATTCTTGTATGATTACTGATGTTCAGTTCTTTGTTAACCTGGAGGTCTGGGTAGAAGCAGAAAATGCTCTTGGGAAGGCTGAATCTGATCCTCTTGTACTTGATCCCATTGAGATTGGTAACTATGTTCTTCTTAAACTTCGGTAGTGCATAACTGCTGCTTTTGTGCATATTGCTGAATTGGCATGTTAATGTTTTGTCACCGTGAAAAATAACGCTGTCAGAATATTGAACTGTGTTGGACAAAGGTAGGGAATAGACTTGATCACAATTCAGATAGCAAGTTCTTGTTGAGTAGTCTGCTATAGAAAGTGGTCTGAAGTGGCAGCCATCTGAGCTTGTGAAAGGCTTTCATGATAGTGTTACAGCATAGTGCAGCAACTGCTAGAGGCATCATAAAATACAGCTGTAGAGTTGACTAACTCCTTCTCTTCTAGTTAAACCTCTGTCTCCACACAACTTATCAGTCAACTCAGGAATACTGCCTACTGTTCTGAAGCTTTCCTGGGAGAATCGGATTTCAGTTGCTGTGATGAAGCTGAAATTCAATATTCGCTATAGGATCGTTGGTGACACAAACTGGATGCAGGTAATACTACTAATGTCCCTTATCAGTCTTCTGCTGTAACTCAGCCATTTGTCAAACTGCAGAAGTTCCCTCACTACTGCAGTTCAGAGGATTCACTTTATTATCCTTAGGCCTTATGTGACCTCCCAAGGTAAGTTTATCTGGTGTGTTCATGAAAGCTGTGATCTAGGGTTTTTTTGGCACAGTCTAGACTATGGTGACCTTTTCTTTGTAGACTCTCTGCTGTCTTCCCCATCATGTTGCACTATGTTTACTTCGAATTTTTATTCTGTATGGGCAACATCTAAAACATTAATGAACTTTCATCTTCTTGTACAGTTGCAAAACCTCTGATCTAAATGTCATTTAAAGCCTGAGAAAACACTGTTCAGTGCTGGAGTGCTTTTTTGAACTTGCTGTACCTAATGTGCCCAAGAAGGCCAGTAGCATCCTGTATCAGAAATAGTGTGGCCAGCAGCACTGGCAGAGTGATCATCCCTCTGTACTCAGCACTGGTGAGGCTGCACCTTGAATACTATGTTTGGTTTTGGGCCCCTCACTACACGACAGACATTGAGGGGCTGGAGTGTGTCCAAAGCAGAGCAATGAAACTAGTGAAAGGTGTGGAGCAGAAGTCTTATGAGAAGCAGCTGAGGGAACTGGGGTTGTTTAGTCTGGAGAAGAGAAGGCTGAAGGGAGACCTTATTGCTCTCTACAGCTACCTGAAAGGAGATTGTAGTGAGGTGAGTGTTGGTCTCTCCTCCCAAGTAACAAGGGATAGGATGAGAGGAAATGGCCTCAAGTTGTGCCGGGGAGGTTTAAATTGGATATTAGGAAAAATTTCTTCACTGAAATGTCATCAAATACTGGAATAGGCTGCCCAGGGAGGTGGTTGAGTCACCATTCCTGGAGGTATTGAAAAGATGTGTAGATGTGGTGCTTAGGTACATGGTTTAGTGGTGGACTTGGCAGTGTTAATTCATGGTTGGGCTTGATCTTACCTGTAGTGTACTACAGTATGTTCACATCATCGAGAGTTGTGGGTGTTTTCTTCTACATCAGTCTATGGACATATTTTCAATAGCTTCTCAGTTCTGCCTTTCTTAAGCCTTCTCTGAGCAGCAGTATACCAGAAACCCTCTTCTCATCAAGATCTTCCCATCTTTTTTCAGTATAGAGGCCTAAAAGTATTCTGAATTTAATGATTTATTGAAAGGAAGACTGCTTCTGTCTTGCCAAAATAGGTTGTTTGAAGCAGGTAGCATAACACAACTGCTTGTGACTAATGTAGTGTATTCCTTTGGAAGAACTTTTTGAGCTTTACATGCAGAGATTAATAATTAAGGTCACCTGTATTGATATTTTAGAGTACTGTTCTGCACAGCTTATTCTGCAACTCCAGGATCTGCTGATACATTGTCCTATTAAGTCCTAACATGTCCTGCCCATCTAACATGTGCACAAGACCATTGAAATAGTAACTTTTAAAAAAAACAGATCTTACTTAGCTGTGGTAAAATTTGACTACTTTGGCAATTATTTGCACTCAGGATTAACTTCTTGAGGGTCTTGTATGTGTGTTTAATCTGCAGTCATTCCTTTTGCAGAGTTGCTCACTATAAAAACCCCTTAGTTGCAAGTGGAGTCTGTGTGTGTGTACCTATGTGTATCTGTCTGCATCACAAATCTGTTTCTGTACCTATGCAGTAGGAATATTTTCTGGCATTCAGTTGTTCATCTAAGATAAAGGAAAGAGCTTTTGAAAATAAGCTAATTTATTAACAAAAGTATGAACTACTCTAAAACAAACTATTTCCAATGACAGTTAAGAAAAATTGTTCTGTATCAGTGGAAGCAATGATCCTAGATTCTCTAGCTTTATAGGAGGCTTCTAGCACAGTATCTTGCAATTGGTAATCAAGCAGATAACCTAGCAAACTTATGCAATGTGAGGTGGGATATTATGGATCAGTAAGTTGAGAAATTATATGGGAAGGAAGGAGAGATAGACATAAACTAATTAAAAAAGAAAACAGAATGAGGGATTGTCCTGAGAACTGCTTACCTGTTCTACTGTATGTATTGTATTATATCTAATAAATACATGCAACTACGGCTGATCTCAAAACTACAGTTGAGGTTTGAAACTTTTGGAAATAAGAGGGGAGAAAAACTATGTTGTTTGTATTGGGTGTGTATGCAGTGGGGAGCCCTCTTGGCTGGGAGCTGTAGTAGCACAGAACTCAGCTTTACAATTTTTGATCAGTGCGTCTAAAATCTTTCTCCCATTTACAGGTTCCTCCTGAAGATACAGCCTCACCAAGAACTTCATTCAGTGTTCAAGGGCTCAGACCCTACACAGAGTATGTCTTTTCCATTCGTTGCATGAAGGAAGATGGAGTGGGCTACTGGAGTGACTGGAGTGAAGAGAAAACTGGGGTCACCACTGAAGATAGTAAGTAATATGTGAAAGTAGGTTGCTGACTTTCAGAATGTGTGGGTGCTCAGCAGTTTGGCAATAGCCAGCTGAAACTGTGTATCCTCACTTGAACTGTTTGTTTATACATGCAAAAAGGATCTCCTGAGTTACCTTCAGTACTGACAAATTGACCCATGTAGTCCAAGGAGCATGAGAATAGCTTCCCATAAAGGAAAGGAGGTGCTCCCTGAAAATAGCTAATAGGGGAGATAAGGAAGAAGAGCTTTCTTCACAGAAAGTTTTATTCTCAGTCTTTTCGAAGAGATGTAGGCTTTATGCTTTTTTTTGTTTTGAAGGTTATCTTCTGTAACAAGCTATTCTGTCTGTGTGAAAGTTTTTTGGTAGAATGATTGCCTGCCTTAGTTTATGACTTGATATTTAGGAGGCAGTTGGATAAAGTCATAGGTCAACAAGCATAAGTATGGAACAGCAGACTTTAGTCATATAGGGTACATCGACTTCTTCACAAACTTACTAAAGCAATGATAAAAATTTGGTGTGTGGGAAGTGTAGCCTTCTATGCAACAAAGCTTCTAAATAAAACACTGGTTTACTCTTATTCCCAAGGTATTCTGCATCTACAACACATTTTTGCAGCTTTAAGTGGCTAGCAAGCCTCTGCACTGCCTTGTACCCACTTGTTTACAGTATTCTGCACACAGTAATCAAGAGTCTTGCTGCTCATCACTGAGTGGTTGTCAGTGGAGGAGGAATAAGAATGCCATCTATAAACCTCTGATTTTATGCAGGATTGGGTCTGTGTGGAAAATGGTTTTATTTAGGTTATATTTAACCACAAAAATCACTGTTTCCTTACAATTTCTCTTCCTTACGGCATAATCATTGGGGTGGTTGTCTTGTAGATCTGGACTTGTAATATCCTGTCCCTTTGCAGTGGGGTGAACACTGAATTGCTGCTGTCATGATCTAAGGAAGAAAACCTCTTACCAGCATCAGCTCAAGGACAGTATTTGGATTGTGTTTAGTTTTGCACAAAAGGACTTTGCAAGCAGGTTATATGCAACTTCAAAGTGTAAACTTACTATTTAAGACACACAAAAGATAGCAGACCACTAGGTTAAGCTTTAAGTTCACAGCCCTGGAAAAAACAAATTTTTAAGAGCATCAGTGAAGTGTCAGCCTTCTGCTTTGTGGAACAAATCCTCAGTATTGCAGAGTTGCTGACATATACCAAATATGTTCACACAACAGCCAGCTCATCAACTTGTCTGGCCCTTCAGTTCCTTATGAAGCTCCCGGCAGCTGTTATGACATTGAACTATATGTCCTGCAGGTGTGCTGTATTGCCCTGGACTCATTCATACCCCTTCAGGCCACTGGCACTGAGACTGCTTCTGCAGTTAGTGTCTTTTAAGGTCTGTCCACTGCATTCCACAATGTGTTTTTTAACTCTGCTGACTGCTTCCACTTGCTCATGAACACATGCAATTGCTTGAAATGTACTTTGACATTAAAGTAGCTACAACTCTGTGTTACGAATTTAATACACTCACGGAAGTCATTGCAGTATTTCTCCACCGGAGAGGCTCTTCTGCAGGTTTGTTCTTAAGTACAGAGACAGTAATTCTGCCAGAATTGTGCCAAAACCATTAGTTGAGTATGTTTAGTATGTTCTGTTAATGATTTTTGTTTTGTTTTACTGGTTTTGTTTTGCAGCATTTCACGACTTAGCAAGTGTTGCAGCAACTGTAAACTTGTACAGAATAAAGTTGCACAACAATAACTGAGCAGTAACTGTTGGAATGCTAACATTGGAATCACATCCGTGTATTTTTTGGAGTATGAAAAATCCTGTTCTCAAAAAGTGGATTCTTACACTAACAGAACAAAAAATACATGTCATCTATATACAAACACAACTAAGACCTGTGCATTTGGCCCTTTAATTCGCTTTCTATATAAAATCCCCAGGCTTTGCTGTATAACTTACATTTCTAGAGTCTGATTTTCTTTTGTCATTGATATAAAAAGCCCACTTAAACAAATTGAAAGTAATTTAACATCTTAAAATAGATGCTTGAGAAATATTAACTGGTATCTTCTTGAATATGAACCTCTGCTGGTGTCAGAACACCCTACATTAGTGTCTTGCTTCCTGCTAAAAACTAAAATGAACTAATTTCAGTGTACAGTCAGCTGTTGATTAATACCTGTGCCACAGTTGTGATACACTGCAAACATAAATACAATTTGGTTTCTGCTGGTAGAACAGCATTTTAACAAATTCTTCTAGCTCTCTTTCCTCGTGATAACAGGATAATCACACTTTTTCTGCATTGCTTGCTAATCAGTTAGCTTTTTTGCTGTTGTAGCTATAAGTTGACAGTAAAATAATTTGCTGTGGTAAGTTTGTTTAGGTGTGGTCACCTCTTGCTGTCACTGCCTAGATGCACTTGCAAATTCATAGAATAGTGGGATAACTGAAGTAGGAAAGGAGCTCATAAGGTCCATAGTTCCTTGATCTATTTTCTACCAAGTGTCAGGCTCAGACAAGGGACTTCAGGTTGCGATTTTGGCAAAACCTGTACCAAAATTTTAGTCATAATTTTTTGCTGTACAGTTGCCTGTTGCAAAGGTGAAGTTAAACAAGCAGACACTGGGCACTTATACCATTGTTATTGCCCTCAATCAAATTATAAAACTGACTTTGAGATGTGCTTAGTGTAAGACTGTTGGACCCTATCCTAGGAGATTGCATGTTTGCTTGCCTTTGGCATTCAAAAGATTTGGTGTTTCTCATTAACAAGCTCCCAAGATGCAGGTGTATTTACCACTAGTGTATTCATGAAGGTATACTTCTGTATTTTCATATGGTTGTATACAAATGGTATGTTTCCAGGTATTAAGTACTGGAGTGAAGTGAAGTTTCAATGGAATCCTTTAATGCAAAGGCAAAAATTGTACAGTCATGGTGCTGAAAAGAAATGCAAGTATTCTGGCAACTTTTAAATCTTTTTACAATTGTTCTACTACATAATCCTTATCAGGAAACATGTACTTTGTACCTCCAAATAGTGATTAGGGATTTGATTTTAAAAGCTTGTTTGGCTTCCTCCTGAATCATCAGTAGCAACAACACTGGGAATCGCTTGCTGATTTTTGACTTTAAATGATGAGGGGATTTTATGTCTTGTTTTCCCAGGAACTTGGTTATTATCAGTTAGAAACTCTTCCAATTCTAGTCTCAGGAGGAGTGAAATTACTTTAGCTTGAGCCCATCTCCATTTCATTTCTACTTCAATAGCCTGCAAGACTGACTGGCTGGTACTGATCCTACCCCATATGGAACCAATAAATGGACCTTCTGGTTGTGTACTTGATACCCAGTAGGGAATCTGTTGTTCCCTCCGACTTCTACAAATACTTTGTGATATCTGTTTAGCTTCTAAGTCAGCTTCATTGGTTTTGTTGGTTTTTTAAATGTGCTTTAGCCTTTCCTGCTTGCATTCTGTTCTGTAACATCCTGTCTGTTTCTTAATGCATTCCAAGGTGCCCTGTTCTTACACAGTCTGTTCAGTGTAGCATTTCAGTGCATATCTTGAAACAGTTAAACAAATAGAGGTTTCATTGTCAAAACACCACATTGCACTTGGAGCTTTAACTAAACGTGCTAGATCAGAAATCCTTCAGTTTACCCTAATTTACCCTAATTGAGTTTCCAACAATGAGTTTTGATTGAATTAACGTGTCATCTTGTATTGTAGAAGTAAGAAGATGATTGTAGTGTATATGCTACTTAAACAAAATGGAATTTATATGTACATAATAATATTTCTTCTGCTCTACATAAAAGTTCACTTTTTCTAGAGAAGATACTTTAAAATATTCTTTCAATATTTTAGTCACTACTTTTCAACTCATGGTTTTGTTTTCTCTGGTTACTATCTCAACCTTAGCAATGAGGATTTCAAGACTCACTGCCTATTTAGACTGTGGTGCTGTTCTGCTGTGGTGACAGGCTTTACAAAAATACTGCTAGAGCGATTAAGTACCTATGTTTTATTTTAGTCTCAGAACAAAGGTGTTGTAGTAGAAAAAGAACATAAAGCCAGTCATGTTGCGTTCATCATCTATATTCAGCAAGATGTACAATTGCTTCTGTTTCACATGAATCAAATCAGGGTACTCCAATGAGATTTGTAAGGAAGAGCTCCCTTTGCCTCAATTTCCATTTCTCCTTCCTTCCTAATGTAAAGCAGAGAAGATACACACTGTGGGCTTGATAGTGTTTTTAGGAGGTAAAACAACCAAAAACTCATGATTGATATAAATATTAAATAAAAACTCTCAAGAGAAAATAAGTCTAGCAAGATTATAAATGTAAATGCATTTTAAGATCATCTTTATTAGGGCTAAGGCCCTCTCAAAGGATTGGCCACTTTTGATTCCTTTATGCACTGTAATAGATTGATTCATTCTACTTTGAAATGAAATTTATAGTGGACATACCACTTGACATTTTTACAGTACTGATGTCAGAAGGTATTGTTGTATTGCACAAAGGTACTGGAGTTCTGTTACCCTTTTTAGTATAAAGGATATAGGAAACTTGAGAAATTGTGGCAGGAGAAATTTGTCTCACTGTTCTGTACTTTCCTTTTTTAGGTGATTAGATACTGAGGGGTAGGGAGAGTTACAGCTACAGACCATAGAAAGGCTGGCAGTATACGGATATGCAGGGCTGAGCCTTTGGACACAGGCAGCATGGTGTAGTTTTGGTTGTACCCCTCTCATCACTGTCATCGTAAGCCTGTGTTGCAGATGCTCAGCATGGTGACTCTCAGTTATTTTGAAACTGTACACTTAAAGCAGAACTGGTGTTTTGCTTATCCCTTCAGGAAGTCTTTCCGTGCACATGTTCCACTTAATATACCAAGTTATTTTCTTTGAGGAACTAAGGAAACACTGCTTGTATATTTAAAAAAAAAAAAAAAAGCAGTAAGCATCTAATGATAGTCAGTTGATGAATTCAAATATTAAATAAAAATACTTCTACTATTAAGCATTATTTCTTTTATCAGAGCCATCTAAAGGACCACCTGTATGGAGGAGCATTGTTGCATCTCACTCACCAACTTTCTGGACTATGCATCTGATGTGGAAGGTAAAGCAACATGATATCTGCAGGCATTGAGTAGTCTTTTAAAGCCATGCTTTTTTTAAAGTGGCAAAATTTACCTCAACAAACTTGAGTAGGTATCTGGGACAGTACTGATTATATTGATAGAAGTGACTTCAGTAGTACTATTCAAATAAATCTTATGAAAAATTAAAAGTACATATGTAAAGGCTGTCAATTAACTGACACATATCTGTGATCCAGTGTATACAGAATCTACTTTCAGATTCCTGGCTTGCTGTCCTGAAGCAGTCTGTGGAATTAGAAACTTTAATTTGGAACAAAGTAAACCTTCATGTTATTCCTGCTGTATCCTAAAACTTCCATAATACTGTCTGGACAGGGATACTCCAGCTGGAAAATCCATTAAGACTAGAGAAATTCCAGAGGCCAGACTTACTAAATACAGCACTGCATGTTTGCATGCAATAGTCTGCTGTGTTTAGTTGTCTGATTAGTCCCAAGCTGAGAAAGTGAATGCAATTATGGTCAGTCCCCATCTCCTGCTTTCTTTTGGTCTGTGAACTTTGTCACATCTGATCTAGCTGTCTCTTTATTATTACTTTTTCCCTATTACTGTGTGACTTATGTGAAGTTACATGTATATTGATGGAGCATCATTTTCTGATGTAACTTGTACTCCACATGCCAATTCTGACATTATTTATCTTAGAATTAGAAAACTGGTGTTACTTTACAGTTTCACCAATTTTCTCTTAGGTTGTCTGAAAACTAATACTGTTACAGAAAAACATAGTATTTCTGTGTTATTAGATAAAGTTTTTTTCCATATGTAATAAAACTAATCTGGCTGTTTTGCATTCGTATTCCACACAGCTTCATTTTATGTCACTGTTGTAAAGTCACGTAAATGCAGTTTTTACCAACACATAGTTCTGCAGTCTTTACAGAATAGCTTTTATTAAACTGCTAGGTAGGATTGTGAGCCAAGAAAAATAATTTAAACGAGAAATAGTTCTGGATGTTACTGCTTCACAGAAATGGAACATAGGTTATTTGTGTTTTTCTTAAATATGCAGCTGTTTGGTCTGTGTGACTTGCGTTGCTCTCAGATCTTTAAGTTGTGCATCAAAGACATTAAAGACAAAGTCGTGTTTGTTCAGTATCAGTCTAACCAAAGATGTGTTTCTAACAGGCATTGGACCCGTTTGAAGCCAATGGAGTAATCTTGCAGTATGAAGTGACTGTCAGATCTAAATCATCTCTCTCCAGTCTAGTAGAGAAATATAATGTTACTACCACCAACCTTACATTAAAGCTGCCAAATGGAACTTATGAAGTGACTGTGATTGCCCATAACAGAGTTGGGGCATCCCCTCCATCAGTTTTACTTATCCCAGCAAGTAATTCAAAAGGTTAGTGTCCTCGTCATGTTGCTTTCAAATGCATCTGCATGGCTTTTGTTATAAATCTTTAGTGTTGCAAAATGGTAGCTTTTTACTTGGACACATAATTGAAGTATTACTGAATGTATCTACAATTTTATGCCTTATAATTATGCTACCGTTTGTATACTAGGAAATGTGCGAATTTATGTATTCACGGGTTCATATGAAGTGATGTCTGCTATTTTGCTGTTCTTTTTAATCCTTGGAGCTACTGTGCAGTATATTAGCTGTTGTTTCTTTTCTTAACATAGCAGGTGGTTTTATTATCTTTTTTAAAAAAATGAAAGCATCCTTTACTTCATGTATGTACCATCTCACCACTGTTTCACTTCCTTCTGCTTTCAATCTCCTCCCTGCCCCTTTTTGTTCTTGTCCCAGTCTCTCCCATATTTTCAGTATCTTGCCTGGTTGCTTTGTTACCTGCTTCCACTGTTTCTCTAATGTTCATGTTCCTTTTTATTATGTTCCTTTCATTGCTCAATAGTACTAAGTACAAGCTGTGGTTTCTCCTTACTTCCAACCTCCTCACAGAAAATCCAAACACTACCAGGACAGGAAGCAAAAAAAATAAGTGTATGGACAGATGCTGCTTTTAAACACCAAGAGAGAACCACAGGTTCTAAAACTATTAGATGAACTAATTCAAACACAGTAGCAGTGCAGCCAGAAGTACTTGGTAAGGTATATGAGTGTGAGGATTATAATGGGCATTTAAAGTGTCTCTGAAATAGAACCTTTCTTTTATGAACAATGTAATATCTTACTGTGCAATAAGTCACCTTACTGTGTTTGAGAACAGAGAAGCTGAGTCTAATTTCCAGTTTTTAAATAGCCTAATACTACTTATTTTGGATCTCTAACATGAAGATTCAGATGTAAGCTTCCAGATTTCAGAAAATTTACTTAGGTTCTGTAAAATTGTCACCATTACAATAACCAAAAGTATCTGTGTTTGAAAAGATAGCTATTATTATTAATATCTAGTGGAAAAACTGTCAATATATATCACTTCTCTGTTTTCTTTCATCACAGCTCCTGTGAAGAGTGTTAGAACGCTACCTAAAGATGGCAAGTTGTGGGTAGGGTGGACTGCTCCTAACAGTTATGTTCTTAAATATGTGATTGAATGGTGTCTGGTGTCCAACAGCTCAGACTGCATCATAGAATGGCAGAATGAACCAGGAAATGTTCAAGGAACATACTTAAAAGGTATTTAGCTTACGAGTTTATGAATGCTTTGTAGAACACTAAAGACCTAATCAGTATTCTCCGAGTGAGGAACATCCTCTTGCAGACTAGAAATGTATTGTAGGCCAGTAATCTGTGATAATAACAAGAGCTTCTCTTAGTTTATCATGTCAAAGTATCTGTATATTTTTGGCAAATATAAAACTGTATCTAATCTTGGATTTTGAAACTTTTATTATGTGACAGCAAGGGTTTTATCTGCATTTAATTTTTAGTCTTCTCATTCTTGGAAACCATTTAAATAGTGAGAAGGCTGAGTTCCTTCAAAATCAAATTCTCTGATCCCTTTTTCAGTTCAAATAATGTAACTTGATCAGCTTTACAGTTGTTTTCAGATTACGATCAGTAGCTTAGATCAATAATTTTGGGGTTCGTTGCTGCAGACAAAGGCTTTTTATTTAAAATAAATCAGAAAACCATATTTTTATGGAGTCTGTTTACTAAATTAAACATTTGAATGTGAACCATTATATTGTTCCTGTAGCTAATATTTTAGAGCGGTATGTCAGTAAGCTCTGTGAAAAATAGTCAGCTGCACTAGATGCAAGTGCATCTGGGTTTTGGCCATTTATCATCAGAACCCTGTTACCTGAAAGGAATGAGAAGTATGGTGAGGAATTTGACTATCTCTGAAACAACCATTTTAAATTCCTTTTATTAGGTGATATAAAGCCATTCAAGTGTTACTTGATAACTGTGTACCCCCTATATGCTGATGGTCAGGGAAGTGGACAGTCTGTGAAGGCTTATCTTCAGCAGGATCGTAAGTACAGAATACTCATCTTGGATCACATAAACTGACTTTCTTGACTAAACATAATGAGACCTTTGCTTTAATGTGACTGTGTAATGAAAACTGCTCCTGCTTTTGAGGGCCATCTGACGTAATTGATCTTGTCCCTTCTATTAACATCCATTCTGCTTATTTACAGTATTTAGGAGTTAAACAGATGTCTGTGACTGGCTCTTCCTGTTTTTCCAACCTTTATCAGCTAATCTGGCATGAGGGTTTTTATGTTATCAGTATAGTAATTTCTGTGCTGACTTATTTTAAATTTCAAGTATGAACCCAAGACTGACTAACTTCAGTTTAAGATTTCTTGTGATCTACTGGTTTTCTTTTTTTTTTTTTTTTTTCTGGAAGTTTCTCTTTTAAAGCATCTTTGGAGTTCCTGAGTTGTCTGAAAATAGTGCTTTGCAATAGTCCAGCTATTCCACTGAAGTTCTTATGCAGTAGCAATTCAGTACTTATTAATACACTGTTTCTCTGGATGTGAGGGTGCCCAACAGAAATGATTCTTCATATCCCCATTACAGGTCCTTCAAAAGGACCGACTGTTCAGACAAAAAAAGTAGGAAAAGCTGAAGCTGTTTTGACATGGAACCATCTCACAGTGGATGAACAAAATGGATTTATCAGAAGTTACACCATATTTTACAAAACTGTTGATGGAAATGAAACAGGTAACAGAAATCAGAGAATTACTTTGTGGTATTGAAGTATTCCATCTGTCTCCTTCCTAATACATGTTCCTGGAAAACAAGATACATAATCAAGTGTGGCTGACAGTCTGTTCTAATGATATCAGGCTGATGTCTGAGGCATAACTCTCCTCCATACTGAACATAAAAAGTCCCTAAGAATTCAGACCATGCAGTCTGTGTATAACAGGGTACTGAGTTTAGTTTCTGAAAGCTGATTTGTGGGTATTGTGTGTCCATTGTTCTTTCTAAATATAGGATGAGTTGGTATAGCAAGACTGTTGAAGACATAAAGGAGTTGACTAAATTTAATTATAATAAAGCCTTAAAAAAGGGTGTGTGGGTGTGTGTGGGGGGGGGGTGTGTGTGTGTGTGTGTTTCAATCCTCCCGGAACTCTAAATCAATATATTACTGGTGTAAAACATCTTGTTTGAAGTGCATTTTAGTCCATGTGTATGACCTGCAGACTTTTAACAGGGAGCTAGCCCTATCAAAAGTTTTCTCTTTAGATTTTCTTAAATTTGAAGGGCCTACCCTACTTGTAATTTCTAGTTGACCATGTTTTTTCTGGTTAGCCATGTATTCTGCTTATTAGAGACCTTTAGGCCTTAACTTTACTACTAGCTTAGTTTGTAGCTACATTCTGAGGGGAAAAAGAACCCCAGGAAATTAACATGTAAAATATAATCAAGAAAGAGACTAAATTCAAACACTTGAGCAGAAAACACATTTCAGCATTTCTTGTACAAGTTTGGTCTTTCTGTGTCTGTATGTTCCATACAGTCTTGTATTCTACTAAAACTATCTTGTACATCTGAAGACATGACGTTCTAGTGTTACTGTGTTTGTGAAGATGTAATAAATTGTACAGAAAACTAATATAAATTTTTTCCTCTCTTTAGCTGTGACAGTGGATCCTTCCAAGACAGAGTATACCCTTTCTTCTCTAACCAGTGACACACTGTATACTGTGAGGATGATGGCATACACAGATGAAGGAGGCAGGAGTGGCCCTGATTTTACATTTACTACACAAAAATTTGGTAAGAGCGGCACAATTAGTAGAAGTAGGAAGTAATGTTACAACAGTATAACAAGGCTCTGTGCAAGATCTGATTGGAAGGGAAGGTGCTTTTATTCTTCTGATTGTACAGAGGACAAGCTATCCTCTTTAGGTCTTCTGGATTGCTCTTTTATGTTGGCAAACATGTTGGCTTTGGATGTTTTGTGTATACTTTAGATTACAGCATTCTTTGGCCCCAACTTTGTGTGAAGTTATTAGGACAGTGCCTTTGTCATCTGTTCTAGTGTCTGATAGCTCCTACCCTCGTCTCAGAGTAGAGTCTTTGTTTTAATCTGAAGGTAGGTTGGCCTTTATTATCCTGATACAGGTGTCCTGAGAAGATGTAGAGGTGTGCTAGGATCTTGATCTGTTAATCTAGGTGCCAATCAGCCCATGCCATTCTTAAACCCTTCCTCAGCTTCGGCATTCTCATTCATACCACTATTCGTTTGCTACAGTTCTCTGCAGAGACTTTTTTGAATAGTAAAATTTATTGTATGCTCAGCTTCCTGTTTATGGTAGGAGTATTAACCAAACTTAGTGTGCAGAGCACTTTAGATTTAGCAGGGTTTTATATTGTTTTGCTATATAGTGTTGCTCTTCCCTAAGCATTCTGTAAGGTTTAATTAAGAATTTGGTTTGTGTGGCAGAATTTTAGTAGCAAGGGAGGGGCTACAGAGGTGATTCCTGTGGAAAGCTTCTGGACACTTGCCTATCTCTAAGTCAAACCCACCTCTGGCCAAGGTCAAGTCAATCAACAGTGGTGGTAGCACCTCTGTGGTAACATATTTAAGAGGGGAAAAGCTGCAATGGAGAGAGGAGTGAGATATGAGAGGAACAATTCTGCAGACACCAAGGTCAGTGAAGGAAGGGGTGGAGGAGTTGTTCCAGGCATTCCCCTGCAGCCCCTGGTGCAGCTGATGGTGAGGCAGGCTGTGCCCCTGCAACCCATGGAGGTCCAAGGTGGAGCAGATCTCCACTGGCAGCCCTTGGAGGACCCCACTCAGAGCAGGTGTATGACCAAAGAACACTGTGATTCCATGGGAAGCCTGTGCTGGAGCAGTCTGTTCCTGAAGGACTGCATCCTGTAGAAGGGACCCACACTGAAGCAGTTTGTGCAGGACTCTGTCCTGTAGGAGGGACCCCATGCTGGAGCAGGGGAAGAGTTTGAGGACTTCTCCCCCAAGAGTGAAGAAGCAGCAGAGACAGTGGGTGATGAACTGATCACAACTCCCATCCCCTGTCCCCTGTGCTGCTGGGGAGGGACGAGGTAGAGAAATCAGGAGCAAAGCTGAGTCCGGGAAAAGAGAGGGGTGGGGGCAAGGTGCTCTGAAGATTTGGGTTTATGTCTTATTGTCCTATTCTGATTTGATTGGTAATAAATTAAATATTTTTTCTCCAAGTTGAGTCTGGTTTGCCTGTGCCATAATTGATGAGTGAGCCCTCCCTGTCCTTGTCTCAACCCATGAGCCTTTTGTTATATTTCCTCTGCCCCATTACCCCACGGGGTGGAGGAGTAACCAGGTGGCAGTATGGTGCTTAGGCTGACTGGGCCCAAACCATGGCAATGTGTATAACAGTGGAAGGAATAAATAACAATAATGCAACCTTGAGTGTTTGCAGGTAAAGGATATTTTCATGTTCACAATAAACTGATGGATGACTAATGACGTTACTTATTTGAATGCGGTAATGTTACGGCAACCAGTAGGCCACTGAAACACCTGGACCAGAGATGAATTCACATAGATGTTATTGTCATATCTGCCCAGACTGTAAAATTACTTGCTCCATCAGTATTACAGCTTCTAGAGCAACCTGTGGCTTTTATTGATGCAGGCATTAGATTGTTGCAACAGAGCTTTTCGTGTTTTTACCCACAGAATATTTTCATGTGGTGAAAAGGTACATTGGAAGGTGAAGCTTAAGACTGAGTGCTGCGGCTGTATTCAGTTCCAGATTTTCCTTGTCCCTTTGGGAATGTGTGATGCTGCTTTCCTTAAATGCCAATATGGGCTATAACTGCTTCTCTTTGTTTTCTTCAGGGAAAGGAGAAATTGAAGCCATAGTTGTACCTGTGTGTCTAGCATTCCTGTTGATTGTGCTCCTTGGAGTTTTGTTCTGCTTCAACAAACGTGACTTGTAAGTATAAATGAAGTTTTTCTCTTATGCTTCTGATATTTCTTAGGATAACAGGTGGCCATAATGCAATACAAACAAGTAAAATAATCTACAGTTAGATCAGAAAAAGAAGGTAAAAGATGCATATGTTGATTGGTGTATTTTTTTTGTTTTCCTTGAAGTCAGGGCCTCTTATATACTAATTTCTTACTGTTAACTATTGGCATGTAAACTAAGTGTTGCATGACTCAATCCTGCAAGGAAATTGCTGCTTTTCTTGCTAGATTTGGTCAGGGTTAGGTTTGTTAGGTTTCAATCAGGATATACTGTCTGTTTTGTTTTCTTAGTCATCATATGAGAGTGGAATGATGGTCTCTAGGTTGTGAAGCACAGAGGAACTGTTTGCTGGCTGTATATGAGCTATTTAATGTTACAGTGTGAGCAAGCTTTACAGCTAAAAAAGTTACGCAGACTTATCTTATGTACCTGCTTTGCATAAACTCAGTCAAACTCTGTGCCTATTTACTATCTGCTGGGAAACATCCTGCCTCCTCCTGTTCCTTCTACCCCAGAGATCTTGGCTATGGCTTTAGCTGAGAGCTTACTGCTGAAGTGTTTTACCTGGTAAGGAGTAGCACCTCTCCCATGTCCCCATTGAACTATCTTTTCTTTCTAATTAAAGATGACATTTTGTGCCCTTTTCAATTAGAAACCTCCCTGCTGCTCCTAAAATCTGTTCTTAATCAGCTGAAAGCCCATCTTGCAATGTTCTTCAGAGTTCTACAGAGGATCTGTTGTTGAGGCTGTTTATAAAAGACCAGGAGAGATACATCAGTTTCAAAGTTAGATTGGTTGGGGGTGTTTTATCTACAGAAACTTTTATTGTTAAGTAACAGTTATGACATTCTTAGAGTTCAGAGTTAAAGACCAAGCAAGTTTTTCTTCAGATACCTTCACTTTATTTTTAGCTGTAAAGTTGCCTTAGATTGACAGCTGTGTTATTATCATTATTTTAAATGAACAACAGTGTATTTTTTTATACTGACATGCATCATAAACTTTAGATAAATAATTGCTCTGTAGATTCTAGAATGCTGTAAATTTGAAAATGCCTCACTAACTGTTACCATTTATTGGCTTGCCTTATGTTGGATGGCTACATCTAATGTGTGAAGGAGTCACAAGTGCAGTGCTGTGTTTTGCTAAGTAGTACAGCTTCATACAAAGATGTAAAGTGCAGGAAGAATTCCTGTTTGGAAATAAATACTCTTGCAAAATTGCTATGTAAGGGAGTGGTGTCTCCATTATGCAGTACTTGCTGTCAACGTAGGTATTTGGGAAGTTCATCTTGTAATGTTACTCTGTTTTTAATCCTTTACAGAATTAAAAAGCATATCTGGCCTATTGTCCCTGATCCATCCAAGAGTAACATTGCTCAGTGGTCTCCTCAAGTTCCGGCTAAGGTAATGGTCATCTTTTGTAAACGTTATATAAAGCTTATAAACATCCCAGACTAGCTAGTGGGAGTCTTTCTGTCTTCTAGCACAGATGGATTTCAAGGGGAAAAAAAAGTTGAGTTTCATGACATTGTGATTACGATATGATTAGAAGACTTCATTGCATCAGTAGATACAGCATTAGAAGCGCATGGCCCTTAGTACAAGTTCACAGCATAGAGCATTATGAGTTATATTCAGTTTACTAGTTGGAAGGGTCATGTCCTAATTATGTTATTCATTCATGGGAAATCAGGATTAAGTAAACAGTATTCATGATTCCCATTCTTAAAACCCTGAAGTTACTTGTTTGCACAGTTATGTCATGAATGAGAGAGAAAACTCTCTAAAAGTTTCTCATGGATGAGGAGATGGCAGAAAAATTTCTGCCCTGTGTGGGCTGAATGACATAGCAAATTCTGTGCAATAAACTGTGGCTAACTTCTATGAAGAACTGCTGTGATGTTGAATAGATTATTGGAAGTAATGTATGCATGGCCTCAAAGAATGTTCCTGTGATACACAGCAAATGGTTCTATGTTTACAGTTTTAAAAAATAATTACAGTAAAAGCAAAGCTTGCACACCCACAATGGTTTTAGAATAGCTGCATAATTAAGACTTTATTTCGGGGACAAAAATACATCCTTCATTTTGTAACAGATACTTTGGACATACTGCCAAACTTAGTAAAGAGAAAACTTATATGAAGAAACTTGAAAAAATTACAGAATAAAAAATTCCTATATTTACTGGGGGGGTTGATTTTTAAATAACCTTCCTCTTAGGCAACATTCATCTCTTTCTTTCAGCATAACTTTAGTTCCAAAGATCAGATGTACCCAGAAGGCAGCTTTACAGATGTAAGCGTTGTAGAAATAGAAGCTGATGACAAGAAGTCTTTTTCAGAACAAGATCTAAAACCATTTGACTTGCTTAAAAAGGAAAAAAGTACTTCAGAAGGGCACAGCAGTGGTATTGGAGGATCCTCGTGCATGTCTTCTCCTAGGCAAAGCGTCTCTGACAGCGATGAAGGTGAAACTACACAAAACACTTCAAGCACTGTACAATATTCAACTGTAGTACTTAATGGCTACAGAGACCAAACACCTGTACAAGTCTTTTCAAGGTCTGAGTCAACTCAGCCACTACTAGATTCAGAAGAGAGATCAGAGGATCAAGCTGGAGGAGGTGACAGTACAACCCAGAGGCAGCATTACTTCAAACAAAATGGTGGTCAGGATGAAACCAACACAGACAGGCCGTGCTTTGAAAGAACAAAGCAAATTATTCATGCTAATGAGGGGGATCTTGTTGGATTTGCACAGTTGCAGATCTCAGGTCAGAGTTCACAGCTGTTGGGCCTTGGGCTGGAAAAAAATACCCAGGAAGCTGCTCTACCAGATGTTTTACAGGCAAGTACTGAAGAACAAACTGTGAGATCTGAATCAGTGGAAGGAAACCCAGTGTTGGTTGATGAAATACCAAAAAGTTACCTCCCGCAGACTGTGAGACAGGGGGGCTATATGCCTCAGTAAGAGAAGAGACTGGCTCTGTTAGGCCTTCATTAGTGCCTGTTCACACTTTCTCCTGTGTTTCTGATAAATTAAGCTAGGTATTTTTATCTGAATGCAGATAGAAGTACTGAAATTAAGTGATGAATTTGACAAAGTACAGTAAGGACTGTGTGTTTGTTGAAAATTTGCAGTCCAGACTTACACTTTTATGCACTACATAAAATCTTATGTCTGGATAGCTGAAAAGCCTCTGTGCTACATTGGGGATTTTGTGTCTTGTCATAGCAGATTTACATGTGATTGAAAATGGCAAGTTTCAGTTAATCACATCAGCCAATAGACCTCCCAGAAGAAATCGATTTGTGACAGTGTACAAGCCTAAAAAGCCAGCTGTAGTTGCTTGGAGCATCTTTGTGCAAAAGTAAGGCTGAAGCTTAGTATTCTAATATGGAAGGATACTTGTGTCATATACTTTTCAATTGCTTGACTGACTTTCTGAATTTTGATTTTGCCCGGTGTCTCCAGTTTCCACCTTACCAGACATGCAAATCATGTTTAACCCCATTTAAAAATTACAAAAATTAAACAGAACTTGCTATGGTGTGCCAGTAAGAAAACACCATGATTGCTTGACTCTGAATGCTACTATAGTAATTGATATTCTGCTTACATTAGATATGTGTGCATATGAACTATATAATAATTTGGCCTGAAAATGTACCTTGCAACTTGACACACAGCAATTCAGTCTCATGTTCAAAAATTTAGAAATCCAGATGAAAACACAGATTAACAGTTAGTTAAATGATTTGTACCCAGATCACTGATTATACCATACCTCTCTGGTCATACAAATTGCCTTTGTTTAATAAGTGCACCTTTGCTGTATACAGCTTAAGAGGCAAGTAACAAGCTGTAAGTTTTTACCATTTTTCTAACTGCTGAGGAGAAAATGAATATGACCTTCCAGATTGACTACAATGATTAGTGTGCTGTAACCTTGCTGCTAATGCCGCAGGACCTCCTTCACACTGAAAGTAGCAAAACCAAAAGCACTGAAGTCATTGAAACTCTCAGAAGAAAATACAAAACTTGTACCCTGAATTTGACCATTACTGGTAGTATGTATCTATTAGTGATCATGAGCCACAAATAACACATGTAGCTGTTAAAATTCCTCTTTTATGTCTCACTTTTTCCCTGTTGATACAGTTTGATTTTATTGAAGAAGATCCGTATCTTGGATACTGCCTCTATCAGGGTTTAAAGAAAAATTAAGTTACACTAAGATAAACCCCTTCTGTAATGATAACTAGAAGTTTTATGGCACTCTTGCAGATATTTTTATTTAACCTTAACTTAGTCTAGTCAGCTTTCTAATCTAACACTAATAAATAAATAAATAAAACCTTCATTCAAAACACTAAATACTGTGCTGTGAGAATAAAACAAAGGTTTTATTTCTCCTTCAGCAAAAGAACTGTGTATTTAAGACAACATGAAACCTTTTGTGCTGTGACCTGTGGCACTGCTATTCTGCAAAGCACTTGATAATGACCCTGGAAAGGCAGGGGTCAATATCATTTCAGCTTACCCTGTCTTGTCTGCCAGCTTGCATGGAAGGACAGGTATACATATAAGTTTCATGTGTTTTCCACTTTCCACAAACAACGTCAATGCTAGAGTAAATTTGTAAGATTGCCTCTTGAAGTCTGGACTATTTAAAAGTGATAAAGAATGCAGACTCTTTAGTAACATTTCAGTATTCCATACCTTTTTCACAACAGTATTTTTTGTATCTGGGCCCTTTTAAACTAAAAGGGTGTGTTGCAGCTTACTGTAACTAGACCTTTCTACTAACCAGACCCCTTCCTTCTCTCCCCACTCGACTTCAGCACCTTTAGACTCCTATGAGATAGTGCTGAGACCATCTTCCATTTTTTTCAAAGGTTGAAAGAGTGTTCCTTCATCAAAACACATTCTTCTGGGAAAGTAATAGCAGTTACTTTATTGGGGGATGGGTTGTCTTCTCTATGCAGACTTCTCTGTGACTGTAGAAATCCCAAGTAAAAGGGGAAGTCTGCTGAGCAGTGCAGTGCCTCTTAGAACTGCCTTGCAGCCATGTGCATGTAATCCACCTCCTGCTTATCTCTGAAATACTGTGGGCCTCAACCTGATGACTTACTCTGAACATTGCTTCAAAAATATGTTGATGATTTCTTTCCTTTCTTTAAAATTGTTTTTGTGATCCAGCGATACTAACTTTTGATAGCATATGCCATATTTGAGGGACAACTTCATTTATTCCTGAAGTTACTATTTGCCTTTCTGTTGTGTAAAGGGAAGGCATTTGGTTCTCAGTTGCTGTTAATCATGGACTGTTTCCAACATTAAACAGCATCAAGAGATGCTCATTTTTAAAGGTCTGTGCTAACAAGAGTTCTGGCCTGTCACTTCTGGCATCTTTCTTTATGTTTGTGGGCCAGTGGTAATAACCTCGCAGAATTGTACAGGAGCGTATCCTAGAGAGAATTATGTCACTCTGACATTTATATTCCATCTTTCATGCTTGTGCATTTATCTAGGGATAAAATACTCAGGACTAAGCAGGAGATACTGGTGGATGAACAGCTTGTAGAAGCCACAGTACATAAAAAGAGCAGGTCTACAGCTTGTTCATAAACCTATGTGCCAAATATTATATCATGCAGTGTTCAGGGTTAACTTGATTTTGTACTTTGGATCATAACAATCTAATTGTATCAAAACAGTTGCATACAGATTTTTAGAGTGTCTGTAATGTAATTATAGTAGTAGTCCACTGAAATTCTCTTAACTTGGCCCTAACATAGTAATTAAATAAGAGGCTTCCCTGTCCCCCCCCCCAGTACCTGTGGTGCACTTTACAAAATAAAGGCATTATTTAAAAAAAATCACACTTCACTACTGACATTTTCATGTCCATCTTGATTTCATGGACTGGAATTTTTCACGTAGGGGTGGGAAAACAGTTGTGAAGATCTTGTTACTTTGGTGGCAGGGAAGGGAGGATAGTACAAATAAATATTTTTCCTCTTTTAGCATGTTTGAAACCTTTCTTAAGTGCAGGCTGGTTATCTGTTCCTCTGTTTACAAGAGAAGTGAATTTATTTATCTCTGTAGTTTGGTTGTAGTGGGTCTGTTAGAACAGGAGGTTGTTGAGGTTGTTTCTGGGTTGTATTGGCTCACTTTCAGGGCAGTTAGTCTGGGAATATCCTCCTCCACTGAAGTGAAAGTCTCGGGATGGTTTCATATGCCCTACTGTAGTAAACTAAACTGCCTGTTAAGCCTTAACCTGACAACGCAAAGCACAGCAGAGCAAAAATTTTTCTCAACTTCATTCTGGAGTGTCTGTGACCAAGTGTTTGCCTATCTGTGCTACAGCAGCCTGGCAAAATGCTAATTACCAGGACTGGAAAAAACTTTGGCCCGAGGAGGAGGGAGGGAGTTTTCATGTGAAGCTGAGTCCTGTTCTTGGGCACTGGAGAAGCCACATGGCCTGGAATGGGGTTTGCTGCTTCAGCTTTGACTGTAACTCGTGAGCACCACCAGATGGTTAAAACTCATATAAGCGTGCCCAGTATGTGGGAATCCCCGTGCTGATTTAACTTCACTAACTGAACTTGTTTAATCAGTGCCAGGTCTTGAATATCCAAGACCCATGTCAGTATATGCTGCTATGGTATTGACTTCACAGTGGGATCTGAAACTCCAAAAACTGTCAAATTTTTAACAGTCAACTCCATTCCAGGACATACCCATTTTAAATTACAATTACAATTAATTACGATTTATGTGCATTAAATAGGACTAAATATACTGGCTTATTTTCCCTGAGACAGTTGTTGTAACTGAGGTTGTGTTATTTGGATACATTCCTTTATGTTCAAAAGCTCTCCTCACTGAGACATAATGAAACTTTATTAATACCCTGTAACCTCTTGTCTGTTGCTAGGATAGATGCACATAGCCATTTTAAATTCAAAGAGTCGCTTTTAATGTTACTTGGAAGCAGTCTATAACAGAAATGTTGTCTTTTGTCATGAAACACCTGTCTGGGAATTAAAGCCAACCCTACAGTCTTCAGCTCAACTCTTGATCCAGAGTAGTGCAGTAAAGTGGAGCTGTAAGTGCAAGTCTGGAGAAGGGTAAAATTAAATATCTTGTGTTGGACTTAAAAATTCCCATTTCTCTTCCATAAAAGTGAAAGCATCAGTTTAAAAAAAAAAACAAAAACAAAAAAAAAACAAAAAACCAAAAAAAAAGAAACTAAGCATCAGTATAAAAAAAAAAAAAAAAAAGAGGAAGCTAAAGCGCACATGTGTTTGCTTTCACTGTTGTTTCCTTTGTAGTACTTGTGCTATCTGAGCCATTCCTGAAAATGACAGCAGTGCTGACTTAATGCACACAGATGCATTTTAAGGCCACAAGATTTGATACAAATTTAAAATTTATGACTAAGGGCCAGATCTCAACAATTCTCCACTTCCCCCTGCCCCTCTTAATTTTAATGCAGAGGGAGGGTAGGCAGCAAGTACCTCCCAGAATGCAGCTTTAGCTAGTATTTGTGTTTGTTTGCAAAGACAACTTTGAAGGGGATAAACGCAATAGTCATTCATACTCTGCAGAAGCACACTTCTGTAACAATAGCTGAAAAACATGTATGGCACAACTGTCAACAGGACATCCTTCTGCTCAGACTGAAGCATCTTCTGCACCCCGCAGTGGCTGTTCTTCTTTGGGGAATACAGGCGGGGTTGATGAGCATTTGCTGCAGTGTTGAAACTGGTAACACCTATCGCTTTTCTTCATATCAAAGCACATTTGTTAATGGATCCAGTCAACTTGCTGTTTTCTTAACACACCAGTCTTGTTTACAGTGTCACATATAGCCTGACACTTCAATACAGCGATGGATTGTCTAGTAACCAAGTGCTTTTATTTGGGGTTAAGGAGTCCTGTGGTCAAGGTCACTGGTCACTGAATGTTGCTGTGCTGCTACATGCATCTAGATAAGCAGACGCGTGGGACACAGGGACAGACATACTAACAAGGAAAGTGCCTTGATACTGGGTGGATGGCTAGTGAATGTAAATACTAAGTCAAATTTTACTATGTACTTTAAGTATGGCTGATTAAGCTACTGGTAATTTGAATGCCAGCTTTAAAGGGCTTGCGTACTCTGGCCCAAGGTTAAACTTGTAAATTGCTGCATAAGCTGTCTCTATATTATAGTAATGTGTTTTAATACCAGTACACTATCTTCATTCTTTTGCAAGCTGCATGTTTATTGTCATATAAACTCTGCTTTCTACAATTCACTGGTCAGTTTTGAATGTCTTCCTCTTTGTTACCCAACTGAGCCTGAATGTTGCGTTTGTCTGGTACATAATATACAAAAAGAAAACAAAATAGAATTCCATATTTAACTTGTGTGCTAGAGTTGGTGTTTTGCAAGGCTGACTTAAGTAGTAACCACAGAAGGAGCAGAGTGAGCACTGCCTAATAAGCAAGAAGTGGAGAGAGATTCCCAGAGAGAGACATGACCATGGTCTTGGGCATGGTCAGAGGACAATGAGGCTGTGTATGTGGGTGAGTTCATTAGCAGGTGAATGCTCTTTAGTCGTTCCTTTGTAACTGCTCCTGTCTGTAGGTGTTGGCTGTGACTGCCTCACCTTAGCAGTGAGACTGGTCCAGGGCCCCGGCTGCGTTCCTGCTGCTGGCCCCATGGGCATGTCCTGTCAGGAAAGGGCCGCCTCTACCTGCCTGCCACTCCCTGTACTGAAGATACCTAGAGGACTGATGCTCCAGCAGGCCTGTTCAGGTCTCTTGAAAAGGGGAAGAGTAGTGTCCAAGAATCTGGTTCTAAGGACCACCAAGGGAATGAGGAGCAGGGTCTAATGCTGTCTACTCACACAGACTCATCTCCAAGAAAGGAGTCAGAGACCTGGCTACAACTGATGTTGCCCTTAGTTTCACCTGGGTTTGGCTCTTCTGTTTCTAATAG